ATTTTGCATTTCCTTTGGCCATACAAGATACCTCTACTGTAAATGGTGTGCAAAGTCAAAAAGATAACCATCATGGGTAAAATTAATAAGGATCATTACAAAGTCTGTAAACATGCATATGTAGTTAAAGAAGGATATTTGGAGTTTTTCAATTTGCTTACTCTTGTATAAGTTTTGTGCTTTTTGAATTTTGACTATTGAAGCCTCATTGTTTTGGTTGATAGGTGATTTTGCAAGTTGTAATTTGGGACTTGGAAAACCATGTTGTGGTCAGCTATAAGATAACAAGCAAAAAGAAACGAAGGGAAATGAAATAGTGGTTGGCATTTAAGTTGACATATACAAGGAATTTGAAGTAGTGCACTTGAACTTTTAAAGGCATAGCCACATTGCATGAAGCTTGGAAATTTTATTATCCTCGAGTAAGATATTGACTATTTACTTTGCATTATCTTTTACAATTGTTACACAAGCAAAATGATATGTTTATTCCTCTTTGTCCGGTGTTGAAATGATGAAGGATAGTTGAAATTTCTCTGTTTGTTTGCTCTTTTGTAGTCTTTGTTATAAATGAAGTTACAACGTTTGAATCTCATTAATTTGTGAGGGCAGACTGTCCGAATAATAAGTGAATTCACATGTTGTAGGTTTTTTTTTATAAAACTAATTATTAATTGTTATGTTTTGTTTTAATGTTTTTTTCCTATTTATGTTGCAAGTTCAAATAAAGTCATAGTTATTGAATATGTCTCTCTTTTCAATACTGTTAAACCAAATAGACTAAAAATATAACATATTGACAAATTTTTGTAAATTAAAGATGTTTCATCCAGCAGAGTTGTCATAATCATTTTCACTTATGCAACCACGCACAAGCATTTCTGTAGTAACTTAAGGACATTATTCCAAATTCACTCATATCTAATATAGAGGAAGATAACAAAAATATTAGAGGCAACTAAAGTATTTTAGTAAGTGAAAATAGAAAATATTTGCATTGTCAAAAAATTAATTAAATATTTCTAGCAAATGATATTTTCGGCTATATTTGAAAAGAATTAAGATAGCTAGGGCTTTACCACACATTACAAGAGTACTATTTTACAAGTGGGAGTGTTTAATTAATGTGGAGGAGATGAATTAATGCATTTAGATATAGAGACTCGAAATCAGAGTATTTTTTAAATTAATATTTGAAGTCAAGCTTAAGTCTATGTCTATTATTATCCCGCAAGAAAAATAATGACAACAGTGTGATAAAAATTCTCATATGCTATCAAATAAAAGTCACAAACATAAGGCAGATTGAAATGTTGTAAAATGTCTATTTTCATCATTTCATGGATCCAAATTAGTAGACCCAACATAAATAAAAATATTTTTTATATGAGATTAAAAATTGAAAAGCTTTACATGTGTTGAATGTTTGCTCGAAATCAAAATAAGTAAAAATGTCTTTTGAAAATGCAAACCATCAACGATTTTTGAAGAACTTGCTGAGACGTCAATTCAAATGGTCATATGTAATTTCATTAAACTCAAAATAGACACTATAACGAGTATGATATATAGCTACGAAATTATTAGCTACGACATTAAATTCGTCACTAACATTCTTTTATTGACAAAATTAAATTTTCGCGCTTAAATATATGAGACACGTACTTTCAGTGACAAACATAAAGTTCCTATCAAAGTTTTGTCCACTAAAGATTCCCACCAAAAAATAAATTGGCATCGTTTTGTTAAATAGTGTTAGTCCGGATTGAAAGTTATTGGTCACACATTATTTTGTCACTAATAGTGTATGTAATTCATGACAAACTACGACATCAAATTCTTCACTGACTATTCGATTTTGTTGACAAAATTTACTTTTCGTGCTCAAATATACGAGACACATACTTTTAGTGACGAAAAATAAAAGTTCGTAGCAAAGTTTTGTCCACTAAAGTTTTCCACCAAAAAATTTATTGGTTGTTCACTAAAGTTTCCCAACAAAAATTAATTGGCGTCATTTTTAAGTAGTGTTAGTCACGAATTTAAAGTTATCGGTAACACATTATTTCGTCACTAATAATGTATCTAATGCATGACAAAATATTTCTTGTATTAAAATTTATTAAATTTTGAACACACAATGTCAACAAATTAGAACTCATAGTTAAAAATTATAAATTTTAGCTATGAAAAATTTAGATTTATTTATGACATTTATGTCATCAATAATAATAATATAAATAATTGGTGATAAATATTATTTGTTTCTAATCAATCTGCGATTTAGTGACAACAAAAATATTGTCACAAAATATATAAGGTGTTAAATAGCGACAACTTAAAACTTTTAATGAATAATTTAACTATTTACTACGGAAAAATTCATAGGTAAATATAACTCTTTTTCGTTACAATTGTTCATAGTTACAACTGACAACTTACAAAAAGAATCATATAAGTTCTTCATAAGAAAACGACAAAGTCCATCATTAATTGGCAAGTGAAAATATTAGGATCAACGAATTCGGTCGATTTTGTAAAATGAAAAAGTTCAATACATCAATTTTTTGAAATTACGCAATTATAAAATGCATCATTTAAAAAATAAAATCCAAGTTATAAGTATTGTGAGTGAGGCACGGTTCCACCACTAGATCACTAATATTTGTTGGTTTAACACTTCATTTTTTATTTGATTCACTTTCATTGATAAAAACATAAAAAAATAATTTCTCAATTCGTTGTGCTAATTTTTGTGTGTTTATTGATTTGTGATTGATAAATTACATAGACTAAGTCGATCTATTTTCTTATGTCTAAAAATATGTGCATATTTAGTAGTAATTTCACATACTATGTAGAGTTATTATACAAACATAACATCGTTTTACAAACTTAGAGTTTGCAAAGCTGCGATATATTTCATGAATTTCTATTAACTTTTCCCTTCAGTGTGAAAATTGAAATAGAATAAAAATAAAAATACAAATAAAAGAAATGAACTAACTAGGATTTCAAATATATTATGATGAAGTACTATAGGTATGACTTATGGGTATCGATGTTCAAATTCAAACGACTATTCATTTTTTTAAATAAAATCGAAAGATTAATTTTAAATAAATTTATAATTATACTGAATAATTTTTAAAATTTATAAAGATAAAGAAATGAAATGATAAAATCGTACTGAATATATTTAAAGATATTTAGAAAAACACAGTTTAATAAAAATAATCTACATTTGAATGAATTGTGGGTGGTAAATATCACACATTTGTGTATAAGTATAAATAATTATATAATATATTGTTTCTGCAAAAGTTAAATTTGAAAGAAGTGAATGAAGTATAAAATAAAACAAAAAATAAAGACAAGAGAGAGTTGATATGATGGTAAGCATTCTTTACTTCCGACCTTAAGGTTGTGAGTTCGATTCCCAAGACAATGTAATGTGCTAGCTGCTGGCCGGGTTGAAAAAACTTGAGATCGAAGATACATATGTATATGTATATATCATATGAAAATAAACCACTTATATAATGATAAATTTTATCCCTAATATATTTAAGAAAAAATAATTGTATATAAAATATAGTCATTGGTGACGAAATAAGATTTTATTCAACTACGAAATACATATAACTTTAGAAATAATTAATTTAGTAACTAATTGAAGTAAAATAATTAGCGACGATACGATTTTTTCGGTTAATACATTTTAAGTGACAAAGCATACTATTAACTACAAAAAATATATTTTTTTACAAGAAATAAATTTATCACAAATGTTTAAGCACTTGAGGACAATTTTTCTTTTTGTAGTTAATATAATACATTTAGCGACGAAGCACTAAATCGTCTTTGTATACTTTTAGAGATACACATTTAATAACGACTAAGTGATGATTTATTTTTCGTCACACAAGATTTTTAGTGACGAAATAAGATTTATAAATGACAAAATTATTTTTTCCTAATTATCGAATTTGTTATAGTGTGAGATGTAAGTTAATAGAGGTAGTTTATCACTGCGCGAAACGTGATTAGTTTAACTAGTAAAAAATATAATGTGTGTCAACTTATTTTTAAAAACAAGGAAAATAAAACAAGAAGATATTTTTTGGAAAAAAAAACAAAAACTACCGTAGCTAATTGAGAGTCGTGATTTCACGTCGGCACATAAAGTACAATGAAATATAGAGAAAAAAGTTTGGTTTCCGGGGGGGGGGGGGAGGAGGGGTAATAGGACCTCCGTAAGTATCGAGTGTGTCCTTATCACCAACAGATGTGGTATAGTGGATGAGGTTGCTCCTTTCTTTGTCAAATCAAATGGGGCTCTATACGAGTTTAAAATAGTCGGACTCTAATATGTGTACCAGACACCTGATGACAAATCAAAAAACAAGAAGCTAGTATTCTCAAGAAGCATTATTCCACATTGCGTATAATTGGGTAAGAAGATAATATCCTCCAGGAGCGAAATTCCACATTGTGTATTAGTTGGGTTAAGACTACTTGCACAAATTTTGTATTATTACATTTGGATTTTTTTGTTCAATTATTGTGCATTGACTTGAGGTTTTTCTTATTAGTTTAATTACAAATGCTTATTACTTATTACCTCAAATACTTTTTATTTGATTCTTTAATTTTTTTGAAAATAACAGGTTCCATAAAATGTTCGTTCTTTATTAATGAATGACATAATACTTTTGATTAAAATGCCTTTCAATTTGGGAGTTTTATGCGCACATTTTCACACATATTGTTGACATTATGGCATCACATCATTTAAAGCCAATTAATTATGGTAGATTTAATTGAGCATGATATTGTTATTTAATAAAAAATGGATTTTTTTACATGAAATGTTGTTGTCAATGTCTGTACACCAAACAATACACTTATCCCAACTAATCAAAATAAATTGGAAATGTTTTGGTCAAGGGTCTATGCACCAACTAATACTCTTATAGAAGTTTCGTTTTCATTGTACTCTGCATATACAACTGACCACACAAAATTTGAATTTATTTTCTCAATTTGTGCTATAATATACCTTATCAAAGTTATTGAATAGAGTAAGAAAACAAAGAGTTTTTTGAACATTTTAGTGCAACAATGGGCTACATAAACCTTGTATTTTTTACGCTATTTCCCTTCCTCTGTCATCTTTCTTTCTCTTCATCCTTACCTCATTTGTGCCCCAAATATCAAGATCTTGCTTTTCTACAATTCAAGCACATGTTTACACTAAGTCATTATGCTTTTGAACGTTGTTTCAACATAAGAGGTAAACCGTCATATCTAAAAACTCTTTCGTGGAACAAGAGTGCAGATTGTTGCTCATGGGATGGAGTTCTTTGTGACAGGATGACGGGACAAGTGATTGAGGTTGATCTCAGTTGAAGCCAACTTCGAGGAGAGTTTCATTTCAACAGTAGCCTCTTTAAGCTTTCCAATCTCAAAAGGCTTGATTGTTTGATAATGATTTTACCGGATCACTCATTTCAGCTAAATTTAGTGAGCTTTCTAGTTTGACGCATCTTGATTTATCATATTCAATTTTTACAGGAATAATCCCAGCAGAAATATCTCTTCTTTCTAAATACATGTTTTTTGTATGGAGAGTAATCATCCAAAATGAGCATAGATTCGAAGCTGACAATTTTGAACTACTCCTAAAGAACTTGACCCGATTAAGAGAGCTCTACCTTATCTTTGTGAACATCTCTTCCACCATTCCTCTAAATTTATCTTCTTATTTAACTATTCTATCTCTCGATAACACTGAGTTATACAGGACATTGCCCGAAGGAGCTTTCCACCTTTCCATCTTAGAATATCTTTATTCATCATACAATCCCCAGCTCCCTATTATGTTTCCCACAATCAAATGGAATACTAGTGCATCACTCATGGAGTTAGATCTTAGTGGTTTGAATGCTACTGGTAAGATATCTGATCATTTGGTCATCTAACTTCACTGCATACATTGATTATATATTCTTGTAATCTCTCAGGCTCTATTCCTAAGCCTCTATGGAATCTCACCAACATAGATGTTAGAATGGGTGCGTCCACTTATAGTCAATGGACCAGGTCCCTTAACACAGTAAAAAAAGAATGTAAGCACAGACACTACTCAGCATCTACTATATGTCAACGGACCAAGTCCCTTGACTCAGTTTGAATAGTAGCTGAAACAAATGCAAAAAGTAAATGGCTGTAACTAAAATTTGTACAATGATTTTACGTAGCAACCTAATTGCTCAAGGGAGTAAAACCACGACCTGTTGCACATGATTTAGAATCGTCTTCAGCAAAAGTGAAACCCGGTTAGAACCAATGTGAGAAAAAGTTATTAATCTCACGATCAAGTGCTCTACCTATTACTTGAAGAGCCTAAGCGGATACAACACCGCCCACAAGGCTATCACCCCTAGAAAACTTAGACTTTCCTAAGTGGATACCACACCGCCCACTAAACCACCTAACTCTAGATGACTTAGAATTTGACTAAGCAACAAAATAATGTTTCCCACTAAATCAGTTAACCTTAACTGATTTAGAATTTTACAAACTCGAAACAAATATCTGAATTCTTTATAGATTAGGAACATATTTACAAAGTAAGCACGGAAGATATAATCCCATACAACTATATAGCTTGTAGATCTTTCAGGTCCTTGTTGTTGTTAGGATGCCATTTCTTGAATATGGCCTTTGCTTTTTGAGCTTTTGGATTTTCTGAAATCCAAAACTTTTTTTGCCAAAACTTGAATTTGTGTTGTTGGAAAAGAGACTATATTCAAATGGACACAAACCGTTGGGACGAGGCTATTGGCTGAGAGTCTGCTGTCATGAAAAGTTTTAAACCAACCCCTCAAAGTTGGTAGCTTTTGACAACTGTCTTTTCATCCTTTTCTCGTGCACAGAATTCCCGGGACCAGGTCCCTTGCTGCGTTCTTTGATGCTTGAGTTCTTGACAAAGACTTGCTGCTCTCTCTCTCTCTCTCTCACTCTTCATGAATGAATGAACTTAATATGTTTTTTGTCATGTTAAAATTATCGACCATAAAGAGTTATAAGCATTGGACAAAAAACCTCTTCCATTCTGATTAGTTCAGTACGCTGGCGCCTCACCTACCACTGACAGGACAACTTTATAATTGTACACCATTATGTATCAGATGGAGAGAACTCAGCCAGGGACTAGGTCCCTGCATTTGTGAGATATTGAAACATACAATCTCGTCCGCTCTTCTTATTGCTGTAGGACGCTGCACTTTTCACCTACCACCGAACATGATAAATTTATGGTTGTACCCCATTTGTATCTAGATAACAGCACTCTGATAGGGACCAGGTCCCCTTATTCTCTTATTTGTGAGGATCATCAAAATGCCTATAATATAACATTTCCCCCTTTTTGATTATAGTACACAAAATATACCTCACACTGAGTTTATCATTCATCTCAGTGTCATCAGTTCCAACAACAAAAATATGGTTTCTTATTAGATCAATAAGTTTGTTAAGTCATCAAAACTTCATATCGAGTTCGATCTAACATCTTCAACTCAGCTTCGAACTAACATTTTCCCCCTTTTTGATGATAACATACTTATTCACCAGCTCCCCTTGTCAACAAGAATTCTTGGGGTAGCTGGAGTTGAATCATCCCCAAACTTTGTCAAATCATGAAAACATCAACATAGAATTTCCCCCTGTTTGATGATGACATGCTTATTCACTACTTCCCTTATCAACAAGAATTCTTGGGGTAACTAGAGTTGAATCATCCCCAAGTTTCTCAACTCATCAAAACAACAACATAGCATTTCCCCCCTTTTTGATGATGACAAACTTGTTCAACTTCTTCCCCTGTCGGCAGGACCAGGTCCTCTTCAGGTAGCTAGAATTGATTCCCCCGTCGGCAAAACCATTTCCTTGTCAAGTAGCTAGCATTGGTTCCCCCTATCGGCATGACCCATGTCTTCTTCCAGCAGTGATAACACTATTGATTTCATACTTCTTCAAGCAGTTATAGCACGATTTATCTCATATCTTACATTAACAACTTTCCCCCTTTTGACATCATAAAAAAGGGTTAAAGTAGTAAACCAAGTTGACAGAAATGCATTTCAAGCAAATTCATGGCCACTTGGGCAACACTGAGCATGAGTAAAATGACATAAAGTAATGAGACATGTCAGTAGAAACAAGACATTTTTCATCCATAAACAAAATATCAGCGATCAAAGCATTGCAAATGTGATTACAAAATGAAAACCAGAATAATGCCAAAAAAGAGGAATGAGGACTGACATAGATAGGTAAGAAGAGAAGGGATGACTTAGAGACAAGGGATTGAACGAATAGAATTAATAGAGCATATCCCTTAACGTTGTGTTTTCAGAAGCCTCTATTGAAGATCACAATTTTGCCGAATCTTCATGTTGATTGGGGCTGCCATTTTTTGTTTTATTTTATTTTATTTTTTGTCACTGGGTCACTCTGATAGTGTTGTTTTAAAAGCAAAGCCTTTAGGAAAACTATTTCAATATCTTTGTTAGCAAGAGCAACTATCATAACATTCAATGCAAGCCCGAGTTTGTCATAACAAATAGATTTGTAACACAAACTCACTCAAGGCCTCCAAGATGAATTGAACACTAGTTAAGGAACCAAGAAGAAAATTTCATTTCTATTTTTTTATCCTCTTTTTTTTTTATCATATAGACACCTTCATTTTCAGATTACCTTGAGTTCGCAGAATATCAACTTATCCCTTTTTGAACATTATCTTTTCCACTTCTTCATTTTTATTGAAGGACTAAATGCCTCTTCACACTTAAAACATTTCATCAGTTAATTCTCAAGTAAGAATAAAGGGCAAACAATTCGAAGTGTGTTTTGAGAGAAGAGAAAATATATTTCTAAACACCTGATATTTGGAAGGTAACTTGATTTTTCTTGGGAAATAAAAGAAATATGGAATATGAGAAAAAAGAGAAAGGAAATATCATTTTGGTACTCAAAAGATGAGACAACATTCAGATTCCTGAATGACAGACATATGACAATTGCAATGGTTCTCATGCATAATTCAAAATGCAATTTTAAGATTGTTAATCTTCGAGAAAGGACCAAGTCCCTCTCTATAGTTTGAATGTCATTACCTAGATCTATCCTGACCTCCCTTTTCCTTCATCCCTTTTTCCATGTGTGTATACCTACAAAAGGTATTAAACTGAACTTGCTAAAACATACATAATTGAAAAGCAAGGATACCTGCTTCCTTTTTCATAGTCATGAAAGAATTGATTTCTTCAGGCAGGATCCGTTTAAGAAGTAGCATTTCCATCATCAGCATGGTTATTTTAGCCAAGTGTTTGTGAACTTCAGGTTGTTTCTAGTTCCATAAGAGTTGAGTCCATCAAGATGCACTTGCTACATTTATTGCCTCAGTTGATGATAGAGCAATTGAATCTTGCCTTATAATTCCACATGAGTGAAAGATCAGCGCATAACATAATCCACTTTTGAGGTACTCTTTCTATCAGCTTGATACACAACATAATCAACAACACCATATACTCCAAATCAAAAAGTCTCCCGATGGACAGAATAGAACCATGTCCTTTATCTTCTTCAGATGACTTAAGATTTTCTCAACAGCCTTCAAAATATTTTCCTTTCTACATGAGTAGAGTTTTTGAACTCCATTGATCAGCATCCACCTTCAAGTTAGTTCCCAAGAAAGTATGAATTGTCTAGGCACCCAAAACATGAAAATCTTTCAGCAGATTCTTTGAACCGGTACCAGGTCCCTTCCAATGTCCAAACAGCAATTGCCCCGATCATGTTGCGATATCTTCTTCCCTCCAGTTAAGCCACTAAGAGTACATACATATTTTTGACAAGTTGGTCCTTACTTAAGCCTAAGGTGAAGATGTCAGCCACTTGATGCTCTATTTTATAAAACTCCATGATGACATCACCCTTCTTTCTCATTGTCTAGAATTCAAGTATGTTAATACATTATAGCAGATCAATGATGTATTATTCTTGACAACCAAATGTAGTTTTTGAGATTTGCTTCATGTACAGCTCCAAGAAGAGATTAATTTATCTATTATGCTTATTTTAACACTCACTTTTAATGAGTGAAGTAGAAATAAATTCTTCACACAACACCTCAAAGATTACCTCAAAGATGACATAATAAATATGTACCTCTCTTAAAGCCATTGTTGAGGAGCAAATTGAACAACCGATCAGCTTGTTGGGCAACCGACTATAAGAATTTGCTCTTTCAAAATGAGCTTGATCAGCTTCTTCATTTTCACCTTCAGAATTCACATTATCAGTTTTAACTGCACCATCTTTGTTCGGCAATGTTTAGAGGACCGGGTCTCTCATCAGGTACATCATCTACATCAACTTCCTTGAGATTGCTGGATTCATGAAAAGGATGTTCTTCAGCAAGCTAATTGTTTAGATCATCTCTCTAAATCTGAATCATCTCTTCCATCTCAGAATCTTCTTTGTTTTGTAACTTACTTCTCATTTCTTCAAGACTTATAAAAAAATCTAACGAACATCTT